CCACGTCAGCCAGTGGCGCGCGGCGGCGCCGGTGGACATCACGGCGGCGAGCTCCCGCGCGTTGGCCTGCACGAGGAAGCGGCGCCCCTCGGAGATGTTCTGCCGCACGCCGTAACCGTCCTGCAGGCAGTGGCCGAGCTCGCGCAGCGCGTCGACGTGGCCGAGAAACGCCGCTCTGGCGCAGAGCGCCACGCCGGCGCGTAGGTCCTTGTCGCTCTTGGTCCCGCCGCTGCCGTTGAACTGAATCACCGCGAGCGAGTAGAGCGCCCGCGCGTGGGAGTTAATCGCGGCCTTGGCCATCAAGGAGGCGCCGCTGCCTCGGTTTTGCAAACAGTAGAAGCGAATCTGCGCAACACAAAGAAATGAATGAACAATTCAGATTTCTCAACATTCCTAATTCAAAATTAATCGGTATACTAATTACTAACCATGCCTAAAGTGTAACAGGCTTCAACATTTCCCGCATCGGCACAGTGTTTGAGGAAACGGTGTGCGGAATCGCACCAATCTTTGGCTCTAACAGAGAAAGTTCTGGGCGAGGCTTTTGATAACACAAGCGAATGAAGCCCTAATCTGTTTAATCTTTTACACCTGTTTCAGAAAACCAGAATGAGAAAGCGTGGAGAAAAACAAAAACAATGCAAAGGAGAATAAGCAGGTTGAGTGATTACGCACGTGATTAAAACATTGACGAAATCCGAGGGAGAAGCGGCGGTGGAACTAAGCTTGCAGAAAATAGAGATAACAAGGTCGTCGGGTAAAGAGTCAAAAAAATCATAATCTCCGGCGGGTTTTTCCGGCGTTTTCTTGAGCCTCTTCCGGCTATGGATATGCATAAGAGAGTCTCCGGTGCGGACATGCATGTGCATGTGCATATGCATATGCATGTGGAGATCCTTGTTTGTCTTTGCGAGGGAGCACATCCTTGGGACAAGGCCAGAATAAGACGCCCCTCTCCTTGTTCTCATATCCCTGATGAATCACTCTCTCTTGAGAGATAAAGGACGAAGGAAAACCTAGGTAACAAGTTATATATAAGAGGGTAATGTAATGAATCTGGTTGCCCGGACCACAACAACATGAAAGACAGAGCCGAAGGTTTTTAAATAGGTCTTGGGAAATACATGATTTTAACCGGACACAAGAAACATTAAGGTGGGGCCGCGACTACTTAATTACTGAAACAGCCCTAATGTTGTCGTTTGCGCTGGTCAAACGTGGTTGACCCAGATCCGCACACTCGTCGTGCCTTAAGTTGAATGTAAAAATGGGCTCTTATTTTGTACTAACAAACGCTTCTCTCTTGTCTGCACGCATTTGATTTGGGATTTTATAAGAGGAATGAGAAACAGTAAATTTGGCTAGTTTGTTTTGAAAGCGGTTAAATTTGTTGGGAGTGAAAGAACTAACTTCAGTTATTTTCTGAAATTCAAATTCACCCCAGGTTTAAAACAACAAACGCGATTCTCGCGTACGCGTGAGAGTCACTCGTCGGGACGTGTTTCAGCATCCAAGTGGGTACCGAATCCTGGGCACTCGTTTAAGACCAAACTCATTTCGAGGTCAAAACTGCTTCAGTTACACTCCTCCCCTTTTACTGCTTTTTTTTTTCAGCTGTAATGTAATCCTAATTTTTTTTTTTACACAAATATGTAATAACTGTTTTTCATACGAAATATTGTCAGAAAATCAGATGCTGACTAGCTTTTTTCATTTTGACCCCTATTTTAATATTTCTATATTTTATATTCTTCAAATAAAAAAATATAAATTATCCCGTAAGATAAATATTTTTAAACAATAATCAAGACGGTAGAGAGTTTGAGATACTTGTCAATATATATAATTTCCTTGAAAACTTCAAATATTTTTAAAAATATATGTTATGTTATGAATATTATGTCCACTAATTTATATGTGAGTATTATTCTATTAATTATTTTTTAATTGGTCACTGTACATATTATGTCTTCTTTATTAATAAAATAAAACAATATATAATATGTGCTGAAAAAAAAATAGTTATATAATGTGTGAGTGATTTTCTTATTTTTTCGGTAATTTAGGAATTGAGAGAAAAAAGAAAGGAGAATTTTATATTTTATTTTATAAAATTATAATTTTATTCCAAATTTTGATATTAATTTTTAATTAATAATTATAGATTCATTTTATTTAGGAGTATAAGTAGATGTGAGTAACTTGTGGATCTAAACTGATACAAATTGACTTAATAAGTTCGGATTTAATCTTTTTTAGCATTTAGATTAAACTCAGTCTAATTCAATCAAAACTTGGTATGAGTCAGGTAACCAATTTTATGTTATTTGACCCATAACTCAACCTAACTAGGGATGTTAACAGATTATGATGGGGTGGGTACGTGTAGTAACTCCTTGCAATCTTTCTCGTTGGATAAATACTTATCTCGTACCTGTTCTCATATCTGTGCAATATTCATTGAACGAATTCTCACATATTCTCTTAATATCTAGGATTATCCACTAGTGTTTACTAAAAAAATATATATTAAAAATATTTAACAAAATATTTTAATCATACATTTTAATTATTTGTAATAATTTTTTAAAAATCATAAAAATCTGCATAAAAAACTAGAAATTATAACTAAATATCAAATAAAATCTATATAATTTTTTTTAAAGATTATAAAATTTAAATTCAAATATTCTTCGTAATTATACTAATAATAATATGTAAATTTAAAATTTTGAATTTTAAATATTGGATCATACAAGTTTGAAGTTCAAACAATAATTGTTAAAATAAAATATTTTGATTACACATAAATTTAAATAAAAGATAATAAAGTATAATATTTAACAATTATAAATCCAAACAAGGTCCAAATAAAATCAAATTCATACAAGTTCAAATAAATTTAATATTAGCAGGTATATATATAAGCGTGACAGATCCATAAATTTTAAGTAATAGGGACAATATTTATATACAAACGCAATAAACATATAATTTCACAATTTTTTTTAAATAAAATTATACATTTGTTCTCTACAAAATTTTATATTCTACAAATACTAAATTATTTTCTTATTTTTAATATTTTTAAAGTTGTTTTTCTTTATATAAATAACAAAGCAACCATTTAACCATTTATTTCTCACATTAAAGCTTTTTTTTTTTAAGTACAACATGACACATGCTCACACATATATATGAGTTTGCTAATTTACAATTACTTATTTTTTCTTAAGAAGTAAGTTAGCAAGTTACATCTAAGTACATTTTAAAAAATATTATGGTTATAACTCTCTAATATACTCTTTTTAAAAAAGATGTATGATATCAGACCACATACACATCTCATAACCTACATCCATTTACTTCTAAGAAAAAATAAGTTAACAAACTATACTCAAATGTGTGTTTTTTTAAAATAATAAACTTCAAAAATGATATATTGATTTTAAATTTTTTTATAACAAAACATAAAAGATAATGGAATACATAACTTTTAACATGGTAAGTAGTATATTATTATTATTATTATTATTATTATTATTAGATATAAAACAATTGACATAAAAAATTTAGTTGTACAAAAGTGGATCCGTCCCTCAATACAAGATATCTATACCCTCCCCATCAACATGCATATATAAAAATTATTTGTACTTATTATATATAAGTATCTATTTATAATATCCATTTTTCTTCTGCGGTGAATTTTATCTGAGATACTCATACGCATAGATTTTTGTTGACATTCCTAAATCCGACCTAGTCATATATTATAATAATAATAATAATAATAATAATAATAATAATAATATAAAATAAATAATAATTATAATAAGTCAGTGTTTAGATGATCGTTTATTTAGAACAATATTATTTGTCACTCTTGTTCATTAATAAATTTTGTGTTTTTGGATTGATAGCATTGTAATAATAAAATATATTTATTTAATTTTTTTTGTATTAATGTTGATTGTTTGAGTTAATAACAGTATAATAGATAAACAAATTTGTTTTAAAATTTAGTTTGTATCATTATTTATTTTATAAGTTGATAATATTGTATATGTAATAAAATATTAAATGATTTATATCTATTATAAAATATTTAATTTTTTTATAAAATGATAAATAAATATAATTATATTGATTCAATTAATTCAATTCTATCCAACTTATTTTTATCGGATTAGATAGAATTGAATTAAATAATAAAAAAAAACATAACCCAATATAATCCATTAAATTTGGATCAAATTGAGTAACAAATTTATTTATATTCAGCGGAACCCCACTTGCTTACATTTTTTATTTTATCTTCTTTTAAATAAATATTTATTAAAAAAATATTATTATTTGTCGCGGAAGAATGGAAGGGAAAGAAGCCGCATTTTTCACCACGATAAATTAAGAGGAAAAAATATTATTATTTATCTTCTTTGAAAAAACTATTTAGCATGCGAATAAATCACTAGTGTAAAAAAGGGTATTTATGTCACCTAATTTACGTCGCAAACCATAAACATCGACGTTGTAAAAACGCGGTGACAGTTTCGTAAATAAGTGGAGACTAATTTACGTCGGACTCCTCGTAGTCCGATGTAAATTAGCTAATTTACGTCGGTCCCCACTATTCCGACGTAAATTTACGTCGGGCCCCCCTAGTCCGACGCAAATTTACGTCAGACCCACCCTAGTCCAACCTAAATTTACGTCGGACCCCCCAAGGCCGACGTAAATTTACGTCGGAGAAGCATAATCCGACGTAATAATTCCACTATATTCCTCCAACTCACCATTTTCCATTACCGCGCTCACCGTTTATACGAAATCCTCTGAATTTCTGAGTCTCCCACATCGTTTATTGCTACATTCAACGTATCCAAGTCTCTAAGTGTCTGCACGTTGGTCGTTTGAGGTTAGTTTGTTGTCCACGTAATTTTTTTGTTTTTTTTTGCTATTTGTTCCTCTGGAACGGCCCGTTCTGCATGGAGAACGGCCCGTTCTCCTTGCAGAACGGGTCGTTCTCCTAGGAGAACGACTCGTTCTCCATGCAGAACGGGCCGTTCTCCTTACAGAACGGGCCCTTCTGCTTAAATTACTGGCTTCGTAAATTGTTGATCTGGAACGGCCCGTTCTGATTTCGGTACGGGCTGTTCCAAATGCATTAAATATTGACTTTTTTTATGATTGACCTTTAGTTTACCATCGTATTAAATATTGACCTTCCGATCTGGTAATTATAAGTAAACGGAATTAGAAGACTTCTCATTGATATTCTCCATCAGAATGAAAGTGAATCAAAATGTATTATTTTGACAATGCTACAAATAAGCACCGATATTCGAACCCAGCATAATCATATGACCATAAACCCGAGAATTGTGCCATTTCTACCCAAATGAACCGAGTCAAAGTGTGGAAGACTAACGCAAGGCCAATCCAAGCTTAAAGTATTGGCCTCCAAAAAAAGATTATATAGTATTGGAATTCTATTAGTTGTTCGTGATAAATAGAGTTCTAATATTATTGAGGAAAATATTATTTATATATTCTAAAGGCCTTTAATTTGTCTATTACTTTTATTAATTTTATAAAAGCCTCACATCAAAAGTTATTTAGGCTTAAGAATGTTAGACCGGCTTTGGACTGACATAAATTCGGACTCGGGGTATCATAAATTTATAGGTATAAAAAGCATAAATTTTAATTTTTCAACATAAGGTTATTTCCACTTATATCTCGTTAATTAACTTAAAACTAAAGAAAGTAACTTCAAGTCTTCAACTGTCAGGATAATTCGAGGCAATAATTTTCCCATCCCCAACGCATGTGAAATGTAAAGCCTCATTTAACACCTCAAACTTATTAACCATCTAGACTCTAGAGTATTTTTAATTATGCCCAGAAGGCAGCCAAAAGCAACCTTGAGAAAGAGGCCTAGTTGCATCCTCCCTCCATGCTTTAAATGATGATCCTCCCTCAGCTGCATAAAAAGTGGTAAACCAGGAGATGTGAGACAAAACTGACAAATAATATAAGGACTCTGAACAAGATAAAAGATAAGAAAGGAATTACAGATGAATCAAGGGGGAAGAAAAAAATGGGCATTATTTATTCCAATCTCAAACCTTATCAAATAGGTGACGCATGCACAAAGGAAATGAGCTCTTGGCAACTTGATCAATGTCCTTTAATGACATATCACCATATTCTCTTGACTGCAGAAATTTTAAATCAAAGTGACCATTGTCAATCCAACATCACATAAATGCCTAATACTAGAAATAAATAAATGAATATACTGCTTTGAATTACCTGAGAATAATCAGGACCCAGATAACTTGAGCATAGGGCTTCCACAATCTACATAGAATGCTAATCAACTTTTTTAACAAAGAAAGGATCTATTGATATACAAAGAGCACACCACACTTACAGGAGTCAACCTATGTTTTTCTTGTTCTCTAATTGAAGATGTCCATTTTCTGCAACAATTAGATGAAACTCTAAGAATCTTAAATCCCAAAATTGCATTTAAAGAAATAAAATTGAGAGTTTATATGAGAAAATTTATTGAGATGACTTCAAATGACCAATGAAACCTGTTAGTAAGGATGAGTGTCTTTGACAGCTGACTGCGGAATAGTGTGGCTACAAGTGAAACAATCTAGAAAAGAGGCAAAATTGAAACACAATATTTACTGTAACAAATAATTTGAGTTCAAAGCAAGAATAAATAGAATGTAATTACACTTGTCAACCTGATTCATTGCAACATATGCATATCCTTGATTTATAAACACTTTCCGTCCAGCAACAAGCTCTGGAACTTCTTCAAATGGTACCTATATGGGAATGAAAGAAAAGATATACAGATGTTGTAAGTTGTAACCCAAAACCTGAGGGAGAATGTTAGATAACAATGACATATGATGTAACATGGAAAGTAAGAAGCATAAGAATGTCTAAAATTGCCACCCCATTCATTATTGAGAGCTTTCCCCCACAAGATTATTCGATCTTATCTATTGGATACAATAATTTGTTATGTTTTAGGAAAAGGTGACAAGAGAGATAAAAAATGCATTGAAAGAAGATATCCTCCAATACTCCACTCACATATAAACAACCTTTTGAAAATTACAAAAATGATACAAGTATTAACATATCACTACTTCCTTATACTTCCCATTAAACTGGTGCCCAGAAATCATTCATGCCTTGTGAGTGTATGACTGAGTTAACATTTTTTTTATCGGCAAATGTTAGTAATTAGTGAGTTATGTTAGCTAGGGAGATTTGAACCCACTCTCCTTATCACTATCCCTATGTTTGTCTTGTAATAGAACAAATAGTTTCAGCTGGCATAACTAACTTTAGGAGTTAATTATCAGTCAGTTGCTTGTATAATACTACACCCTGTAACAGAAACTATGGCAATTCAATAAACCACATTCTTTCAAATCCTTTACTTTCTTTCTCTGTTTTTCCTCTGAATTCAGTATGGTTTCCAGAGCTCTAGATCTCTGATGGTCTCTAAAAAGTTTTCCACCACCTTCACCACACACACATATGAGCTCTTGAGAATCACAAAGAGACCCAAGGATAATTAATTACTATTTCCCAACAGTTTTTCTGATAGATTCAAACCTGTTTTAATTAGTAAGTACTATCTTTTTTCTTTTTGTGAACAAGGAGGAATCAGTAGAATTCAATATTTTTACTGAATAAGAGAACCAATTTTCTACAGAGAAGGATAAGAAATATTTAAAAACGTCAGAGTTAATATTTACAGTAGAACTGCGGTTATGTTAATAATCCTGTCACCATGTGCATGGAAGAAATAAGTAAAAAATAAAACATACCTTGTAGAAGATAGCATCATTTCTTTTATTAATTTTTATATGTAAAATGGTTATCTACAAAAAAATATTTAAAATAATTATAAAATTAAGACGCATAATTAAAAGTAGTTAATTGTCAAATGCTTGTGATATATATATATATATATATATATATATATAAATGAAATATAAAATAATTAAAAAATTATATATTGGTGTTATAATTAATATAACTACAACTACCTTAATTAATATAGCTATTTATTTTTCATGAAATATAAATGAAAAAATATTTATGTTTCAAGAAGAAAAAGTTTAAGAGATGCATTTGCCTAAAGTAAATATCACGATATTTCTTAATTTAAATTTAAATTTGTTAAAAAAAATTAATTTGATTGAGAGTATGATTGTATCATCGATTATAATATTTAAATCACGATTGATTATGGTTATCTCAAAAAAAAATTATGTGATATTATGATGGGATGTATGGGTAGGGCCATAAAGTTATACCCTCCGACACATCTCTCGGCACACATGGCCAAATTGGTTACGTTCGGATCATCTCTGCGAAAGCATATCGACCACCCGCGTCGAATCGACCCAGTTGGAGACTAAGCAGGATCGCAAGAGATCAGTAAAACTAGTTGTACTTGGCAGCCGACACCTGATTGGCATCCCAAACGAGTGAAAGGCTTTGAGAGATGTAAGTCATGGAGCCAGTAATCATCCCTAAGTAATGATTAAAGATTAATTACGTGAATAAGTTAAGTAAGGATGTATTACCTAATCAGGTAATCCTAGGACAGGGCCCAACGAGGGCAGGACCCATAAATGTCACATACTTCGAGGTAATGTCACTTTTCATTAATTATTATTGATATCTGTGTTTGTCCTTACTTGAACATCGGAATACGTTTTGCAAGTATCCTCTCCCTTACCGGAATATTTGCTTGGAACTCTCGTTCGGCCTTCAGACTATTAAAAAATTACTTGTGTGCCCTTCAAACAGGTATACGGGATATTTTTGAAAGTTAATTTAGATTTTGTTAATGACGTAGTACGTATTTAGTATGTTTAAGTTTAACCTTAATGATATTGTGAATGCATGGAAACGTGGCGGCTTGCTAGTGTGTGATGGTGTCTGGGAAGTTGCAACTTGTAAAGTTAAGTATGTATATAGGAGCTGAGCAATCTCATCAACTCAAGTAAACGTGTGGTGTGGGTTTGAGATTATGGCAACTCCTACAACTCTATCCTATCTATCTATAACCATAACCATAAATATATAAGATCTCCCTACGCCAACCCAATCCCATACCACATCGTACTCCTATGCCCTAATCCCGCAATATCTTTTCAATTTGGATTTCCCCTCTCCACTACGCCACACGTGCCCTGTTCCTCCTCTTTCTTTCACAAGGCACGATTCAAAAATTCAAACCATACATGCAACCATCACTATTATAATTTATTTTTTTCTTCTAGATTCAACTCATAGTTTATTTAATATCTTCTGAACGAATCACACGAATGGAAGCATTAATATACAGCAGCAACAAGGCAACAACAACCCTTCGTGTATGTTTTTGTTGTAATTCCAACACAACACTAAAACTTTTTAATGTAATCAAAAAGCTAGACATGAAATTATTCAACCTAAAATTAAAATTTCAACTAAAAAGTAAACAACAATAAATATATATTTCTGGGTCACCACATATATATATATATATATATATATATATATATTATGTGAAGTAGTTTTATTTATGACTAACTTCTACTTTAAAAAAATATCTAACTAATATTTTTTAATAGATGATCTCTTATGTATTTTTGTAAAAGATTTCTTAGATAAAATCACATTAATTTTTTTTGAAATTATTAATTTTGTAAACTGAGCAAAATTGAAATATACAATTGTTTCAAAACATTATTTATTTATCGATTATTGAGTTATAAACTTTTTCGTAACAAAGAAAAACTACCAACTACAAAGAGCATATTTGGAAACACATTTTACATTCAAAAAAATAATGTTCACGGTATGAAAAAGGCAAAAATAAAAACAAATAACATTCACTTCGATATAAAAAGTCACATCTATGATTCATTTCCAAACATCAACTTTAACTATTAGAACATAAGTAGAAAAGTGTTAGTTAGGATGAAAGTGTTTTTTATTGGTTGCACCAAGGAAATTTCTTAATCGATGATTGAATAATTTCTTTCGAAACATAAATATCATTTAAGTAAGTTTTACATTTTCCTACAAAATCTTCTGCATACACATTTGAATCGCAACTTATCACCGAGGCTGTTTTTTTTCCCCGCTAAAATCAACAACAAAAAAGCTTTTTTTTTTTTTATGAATACAAAAAATTATATCCCTTAAAAAAAACATTCATTCAGATTATTTTTACTAACTTAGTTTTTGTCTAATGATCACTTAATTATCAAAAGAAATATTAATGTATTGATTTTTTGTATAAATTTACAATACATATTTAAAAGTTTTTCTTTTATCAAATAATGTTTTTGAATTATTAAAATAATAATTACAATAATAAAATTGGAACTTAGGCTTTATGCATGATATTTCAATTCTCACATTCTTTTAGTTAATACTGTCAATAGTATGTGGCTTTTTTAATGTTTAATTATTATGTAGAGAAATTTAAAATTGAAAATAGTTATTAGAGTTTGAAATAGTGGTGGAGGCAAACGCAGTACATGTAGATTTGAAAGCAAAGGTGGAGAGAGC